CCCCTGACAGATGGCCATCCAGCCTCTGTTTAAAAGCTTCCAAAGGAGCCTCCACCACACTCCGGGGCAGAGAGTTCCACTGCTGAACGGCTCTCACAGTCAGGAAGTTCTTCCTCATGTTCAGATGGAATCTCCTCTCTTGTAGTTTGAAGCCATTGTTCCACGTCCTAGTCTCCAGGGAAGCAGAAAACAAGCCTGCTCCCTCCTCCCTATGACTTTCCTTCACATATTTATACATGGCCCCCATCATGTCTCCTCTCCGCCTTCTCTTCTGCAGGCTAAACATGCCCAGCTCTTTCAGCCGCTCCTCATAGGGCTTGTTCTCCAGATCCTTGGTCATTTTAGTCACCCTCCTCTGGACACATTCCAGCTTAAGAGTCAGCATCTCTCTTCAATTGCGGTGCCTGGAACTAGACACAGTGTGATTCCAGGTGTGGTCTGACCAAGGCAGAATAGAAGGGTAGCATGAATCTCCTGGATCTAGACACTAGACTCCTATTGATGTAGGGAAAACTCCCATTGGATTTTTTAGCTGCCGCATTGCATTTTTGGCTCATTTCCCCCTTAGAATCATAAAATCATAGAATTGAAAGAGACCTCATGGGCCATCAAGTCCAACCCCATTCTGCCAAGAAGCAGGAAAATTGCATTTAAAGCACCTCTGACAGCCTCTGTTTAAAAGCCTCCAAAGAAGGAACCTCCACCACACCCCGGGGCAGGAAGTTCCACTGCTGAACAGCTCTCACAGTCAGGAAGTTCTTCCTAATGTTCAGATGGAATCTCCTTTCTTGTAGCTTGAAGCCATTGTTCTGCATCCTAATCTCCAGGACGCTTAAGTGGCTGAGGGCAGAAAGGAATGGGCCTGAGGCTGTTAGGAATTGTGGGAGCTGGAGTCCAAAACACTTGGAGGACCCAAGTTTACCCATGCCTGCTCTATCCAGTCCTGACTTTTGTATGATGTTGGAATATTTGTGCAACCAATGGATGTCAGTATTTTGGTTTTTTGTCTGCACTTTTTCTGCCATAATAATAATAATAATAATAATAATAATAATAATAAATATTTTGCTCCTTCACAGTGTTGAGTATCTTATGCACATCGAACAACAACAATGCCAGCGCAATCCATTTCAGTCCCAGGCTAGAAAAGCGAAAGCGGAGGCCAATATTTTTCTCTCTTTAGTACATAATGTTTTGTAGAATACACCAGATTTTGGCACTGATTTCAGACCCTTCAGCCCATTTCCATCCATATGGCACCTGCTGAAAGGTGAAGCAAAGTCTAGAAGCATAAGGAATGTAGTATCTGCCGCTATTTTGCCCATTTTCAGTTTATGCAAAGGGGAGAAATGGAATGGGAAGTCAACATCTCAACACGGAAATGGCTAAATCAATATTGTAAACATACAGAGATTAAGACAAAGGGTGACTTAAAAACTTACAAAACACCAATGAAGGGCTTGGAGAGTGTATAAAACTTACCTATGTATATAGAAAACTGTCAAGGGGTATCAAAGACTTGCTAACAGGTGCCAGATGGAGAATACAAAAGCACTGTGTAAGATTCATCAAGAGTTTAGTAAACCAGAAGGTGCATTACATTACAAGCTAGTCTGATGGCTTGGTTCTGATCCAGGATCCAAAAGTCACCCACCATTAAGGGATGCCTGGTTCTAAGGTTGTTGCATTGGCAACTGGCGCGTTCCAAAAACATTTAGTGGATTTCCCACTCGATTGGAATATTTAAATTAGTACAACGAGAATAATTTATGCCCGTACGAAGTACTGTAAACTAATACACCATCAAGAATGTTTCTAAAAGGCAGAGTCTCATATATTTTGCTCCTATATATGACAGGGCAAAAAATTAGGGAATAAAATCACATTAGGAAAAAAGTTAGCAAATAAAAATAGCTTGTATCAGGAATCTAGCATATAAATCAGGTATGGGCAAACTTGGTCCCTCCAGGTATTTTGGATTTCAGGAATTGTGGGAGTTGAAGTCCAAAACACCTGGAGGGACCAAGTTTGCCCATGCCCGATATAAACGAATTCATCTGTCCCTTTGTGTTTGGCAATGCTCACTCCCAATTCATCAAGTAAAAAACTATAGGCAAACTACGAGGGTTATCTGGAAAGTAAGGCTACAAGGCACGTAGCTCTCACGGGGAATTTTCTCAGGGGAAGTTGGAAGTTGGCTAGCGGAAGTGAACGAGCAGTGCCCGTCGTCAGTAGCTCATCAACTGGTGTTGTGGTGAAGGTTTTGTTTTTGTTTTTTGTCATGTCAGGAGCAACCTGAGAAACTGCAAGTCACTTCTGGTGTGAGAGAATTGGCTGTCTGCAAGGACGTTGCCCAGGGGACGCCCGGATGATTTGATGTTTTTGTCATCCTTGTGAGAGGCTTCTCTCATGTCCCCGCATGAGAAGCTGGAGCTGATGGTGGGAGCTCATCCGCCTCTCCCCGGATTCGAACCTGCGACCTGTTGGTCTTCAGTCCTGCCAGAACAGGGGTTTAACCCACTGCACCAGTGGGGGCTCCCCTGGTGTTTGCGCTGTATGAGGGATTTCCGGAAAATAAGGTTACATGATTTTTTAAAAAATACAAAAAATGAATGTATTTTAATAAAACTTATATATATTGTAGTCTAGGTATTACATTATTTTTCCACATCATCACCATTCAGTTCAATACATTTTGTCATCCGTGGGACGAGTCTTTTGAAGCCTGTGTCATAGAAACCACCTTTTTCAGCCACGTCATCAGTCACAATGGACGTTTAGAGAGTGTATTACAGTGCAAATTTTGCACTTGTAGGGAAAGGGAATGAGGGCGCTCATCTCTAACCTTCACCACAATGCCAGTTGATGAGCTACTGACGACTGGCACTGCTCGTTTGGATCCACTGGCTTCCTGCTACACAACAGCGATATCCAATTTCCCTGAGTAAATTCCCCGCGGGAGCTATGAGTCTTATAACCCTACTTTCCGGATATGCCTCATACAGTGCAAACTTCGCACTTGGAGGGAAACGGAACAAGGACGCTCCTCTCTAACTTGACCGCAATGCCAGTCGATCAGCTACTGATGACTGGCACTGCTCGTTCACTTCCACTAGCTTCCCGCTACATGGCAGGGATAGCAACTTCCCCCGAGAAAATTTCCCACGAGAGCTACATGCCTTGTAACCTTACTTTCTGGATATCCCTCATTCAGAGGGAATTTTGCACTTGCAGGTAAACGGAATGAGGACGCTCATCTCTAACCTTGACCGCAATGCCAGTCGATCAGCTACTGATGACTGGCACTGCTCGTTCACTTCCACTAGCTTCCTGTTACATGGCAGTGATAGCAACTTCCCCCGAGAAAATTTCCAGCGAGAACTACATGCCTTGTAACCTTATTTTCTGGACATCCCTCGTTCAGAGTGAATTTTGCACTTGCAGGTAAACGGAATGAGGATGCTCATCTCTAACCTTCACCACAATGCCAGTCGATGAGCTACTGATGACTGGCACTGCTCATTCATGTCTGCTTGCTTCCTGCTACACACAGTGATATCAACTTCTCCTGAGAATATTCCCCATGAGAGCTACATGCCTTGTAACCTTCCTTTCCAGATAACCCTCGTACATGAAGTGGCTCATACTGATGCATAATTTTGGAACCCCCTTTCATTAAACAATGTTAAAGGTCTATTTGTGGAAACAAACATGAAAAATGTGGGAGTCCTTTTGCTGCCTTTCATCCAGGCAGAGAGGAGCTCTGAATTGTAAATCCAACTTCACTGAAATGTATCACTGTGCCACTAGCTCTCATGCAATTGGCTCTACAACTGCAAGCAGCAGAGAATATGCATTACATTAATTCTAAGCCCAAACAGATCAGTGGATCTATGCAATTTATAAGGTGACATACAGAAAAAGCTAAACTAGCTGAATTTCCAGCTTCACCCAAGCTCATTCCAAAGGAATTGTTGGATTAAATCCTATAAAAAGTCAGGATGATAAGTTTTTGCTTCCCAATTTTTCATTAAGCCAAGTGCTTCTAGAGCTTATAATTCTAAATCTACCAATTCAACCCTGAAAACTCAAAGTAAGTCAAGGATCTGATGATGTGTAGGGTCATGCACGTATTCATACAGAACAATAGTACTGAACCACTATGGTCAACACCACAGAGACTAAAATAATTTGTACACAATCTAAAAAACATTGGGTTGCTGTGAGCATTCTCTCCTGACATTTCAGCCACATCTATGGCAGGCATCCTCAGAGGTTGAGGGGGTCTGTTGGAAACTAGGCAAGTGAGATTCAGCCAAGTTTTGAAGCTGCAAGGCCATTAAATGCTAATCAACATGGTCAATGGCAGTATTCACACTTCCATCAAACAGACAAGCGTTCTTTTCCCACCCTGGGCACTCCACAGACATCTAAACCTCACTTGCTTAGTTTCCAACAGACCCCTCAACCTCTGTGGATGCCTTCCATAGATGTGGGCAAAACGTCAGGAGGAAATGCTTCTGGAACATGGTCATACAGCCTGAAAAACTCACAGCAACCCAGTGATTCCAGCCATGAAAGCCTTTGACAACACACTAAAAAATATTTTATGTATGAAATATGATTGAGCACAATAAGATCAAGAAGTTAGTTTGCCTGTTTAATTCCTATCTTGCCTTCCACCCAGAATAGGTACCAGCTTCAGAAGATTGTGTATAAATCTGGCTTTCACAGAAGCGCAGCTTGACGCAGTGCCTCTGAAACAACTACTTTCAAAAGGTGGAGGAAATGTCCAATTCCATTTGCAGGTTGCTGGCAGGAATTTAAAGCCCAGTCCAACCAAGTCAACAAGCAACTGCTGCCAAGTCGTAAGTCAAGAAAAGGGGGTGAAGACCAACAGAAGGATGGTGGTCTCCCAATAATTATTAACAAAGCTTGGAAAAAAATAAATAATTTCAGAAGGCAGCTTCTGTTATCCTTCCAGCCACCATGCTGGAAGTTGGAGGGCTGTAATACAAAAGAGTAACTTTCCCAAACTCTGCTAAACAAAGTCCTCATGTTCAGAGCCAGTAGAGCTTGAAAGAGTCAGAAACAAAAAAGATGCCAAAGAAAAATCCAAAAGGTCTCAAAATTTCAAACCAGGTGGATTTGGGGTCCAAACATGCTTGGCTTTTCCCAAACGCCCAATCATTGTCTCCCAAAACAACTACTATACTCTGAACTCAAGAATGGAAAAGAGATTTAAAGATGGCCTCAAAGCCAACTTCAAAAACTGTGGCATAGACACTGAGAACTGGGAAGCTCTGGCCCTTGAGTGCTCTAGCTAGAAGTCAGCTGTGACCAGCAGTGCTGCAGAATTTGAAGAGGCACGAATGGAGGGAGAAAGGGAGAAACATTCCAAGAGGAAGGTGCGTCAAGCCAACCGGGACCACCTTCCACCTGGAAATTGATGTCCTCACTGCGGTAGAACATGCGGATCAAAAATAGGGCTCCACAGCCACCTACAGACCCACCGCCCAGACACTACATTTGGAGGACCACCATCCTCAGGCTACGAGGGATCACCTAAGTAAGTAAGTAATCATATTTATACTGATTATACACCGTTAAGGCCAAAACATGCCAGTCATTCACTTTATGGCTGAATGGACAAAGACACTATGGAGAAAGATGCTGTTGAAGTTATGAAGAGTTAAATCACTCCTACGACAGGTGTATTACAGAAAGGATCCTCAGAAAGTGCTCTCTGCATCACAGGACACACTCTTCTTAGGAAAATAGGAATCTTAGATATACCCCAGAGAAATGCAATGTCGCATTCCCCACTCCTCTGGATGTCAAATGACCATCCCGTGTTCAACGGCACCAGCGACAAGCTTTCTTCCATCACCATTTAACAGAGCTTCCCATTTACTGAGAAAAATCATTTCCATTGTTTACAATGCTCTCCTTGCTCTCACAACCTCAGCCGATGCAAGCAATGGGAGAGACCATAGGTATGGCTTGTGAACCCAACTACAATCACGGCCTGACGCCACCATCTTCCGCGGAGAGACTACGTCAGTTTCTTCATCCTGCGGTTCTGCTTGTCGATGTTCATGGTAGCTCGGTCCGCAGAGGAAGCGATGGTGTCAAGGGCTTCGTCCTGCCTCTCCAGCTCCGTCTCCGTTTCAAAGGCCAGGCTCTTGAGCCGCCGGAGAATCTGCAAAAAGAAGGCAAAGAAATCAATTTATCTAAACTATACGGTCGGATTCACAATATCGGCTTTGGAAGAGAACACAAGAGCTATCTTTGTCAATCATGGGGCCCTCAAACCATTCTTGTTCATCCTTTGACATCTCCTTTGGATTTTCTGTCAAGATTGGGTTTGTGTGCCAAGTGCTCCTAGTCTCTTCCATTTGCCTTGGTTGATTGTATGGCCTTCAGACCCCTCTGGCTCATCCTTTGACATTTCCTCTGAACATCATGTGTCATGTACATTAAACCTCTTCCTTTAGCCTTGGTCAGTCTTATGGCCCCCAGACCCTTTTTGCTCACCCTTCAACATCTCCTTTGGGCTCTCCCACCATGGCTGATGTTCTGTGCCCCAGACCCCCAACCTCTTCCTTTTGCCAAATCTGGCTACCAGTATTAAAAAGCTCTAAAATTACAACAGCAAAACAACAGAGAGGAAACAATCAGGGACATCTAATCACCTCTCAAGAAAAGATTGCCCCAGGCACTGCCAGGCCATCAAATGCTAATCAAGGTGGTCAGTTGAAACATTCACACCTATCTCCAGCAGACAAGAATCCTTGGTCCCACCCTGGTCATTCCACAGATATATAAACCCATTTTCCTAGTTCCAACAGACCTCACTACCTCTGAGGATGCTTGCCATAGATGCAGGCGAAACGTCAGGAGAGAATGCCTCTAGAACACAGCCATATAGCCTGAAAAAACCTACAACCACCCAGTGATTCCGGCCATGAAAGCCTTCGACAATACACAGAATCAGCACTGGAAGAGACCACAAAAGCCATCCAGTGCAACTCCATCAAAACACTCTGACAGACAGTCGTTCAACCTTGAGGGAAGGAGACTCCCAGGCAGCAGCATATTTGGCTGTCAACCAGCTTTTACCATCGGGATGTTCTTCCTAATACTTAGGTGGAATATCTTTCCCTGCAATTTGAATACTTTGCTTCACTGAGAAGCAGAAACCAAGCCTGCCCCTTACTCAAATATTTGACCTCCTTTCTAATATTTCAACATGGCTCTCGTGTTCCCACTCAGCCTTCTCATTTCCAAACTAAACACACCTAGCTCCCCCAGGTAAACCTCTTAATCAAAGTCTTATTGGCCATTGATCACTCTGGGTCATATCTTTCAAGTTATTTCCTGGAAAGGAAGATTATTTAGGAATCTCTAGGTCCCCCGGCAACACAACACTATGGCATGCTGGGACTGGAAGTTGTTGGAGTTCAACCCCACACCGCCCAAGTCTCAAGTCCTCAATGAGGAACAGTTTAGTTAGTTTATTATAGGCTGAGGGAATTCCCTTCGCCCATGTCTCCTGTATGCCAGCTGAGAATTTATCTATTTCTCCCCTCCTCTCTGTTTCTCACTTGAGAATGGAGAGTATGTGCTGCGTGCTTTGAGATCTCTCTCTGCTTGTGTGTCAGAACAGATGTAGTGACTGACTTTTTCCCTCTCTTTGAAAGAGATGGGTGTTAGAATAGCTCAGACCCAGTTCTTGATGATTAAGAAGTGGAGTTAGTTCTTATTATTGTAAATAAACCTTTTGCGTTTTTTTAAATACTGGACTCTGCATCTTTGCCTCCTGAGCTCTTAATTCTTTACAGCCACATCATACAGCACTTCATGCTTTGTTTGCTAGTGAGCTGATTCTCAACTTTTGTATCCTGTTTATTTTTGGATGCTCTGCTGTATATTTTAGGGTTGTTGTTTGTTGTTTGTTTATTTATTTATGGCATTTATATGCCGCCCTTCTCACCACGAAGGGGACTCAGAGCGGCTTACAATATATATTTTCATACAATATATTATATTATTACCATAGTATAATATCAGTATTATATATTACTATATTGCACTATACCATTATATAGTAATATTACATGTAATGTAAATATATAATTATAATTATAAATTGTATTATTATTACTAGTATTATATTGTATTGCATTATAATATTATAAATATATGTATATACAATATACTATATTATATTATTAATAACGACATGATGGAAATGTCTTCTGCTCCCCTCTGTCTTCGCTCTGGCCAGAGTAGCTATTGGTGCCACAGGAACACGCTGCCATGTGCTGAGCACGCCTGCTCTCCCCTCCCTGCTTGCAGTCTCAGAAACAGCCCTGGCCTTGGGTGTGAGGCTGTCCAGTCACAGTGGGAGAGGGCTTTTGGTGGGAGGTTTCCCTGCCACAAGCCTTCCTCCAGCCTCGCACACTCTCCTTTGCCTGTGGAGCATGCTGCCATGTGCGGAGCACACCTGCTCTCCCCTCCCTGCTTGAAATCTCAGAAACAGCCCTGGCAGTGGGTGATAGGCTGTCCAATCACAGCAGAGGAGGGATTATGGTGGGAGAAAATAGAAAAGAAGGACAGGTGGAGAGATCTGCAGCCTTTTCTGCCAAAGCAATTCCTAAGACCATCAGAAATGTATGTTTTTGGATGGTCATCTGAAACCCCCTTGCAACCCCCACCAGGGGTCCCAGTCCCTGGGTTTAGAAACTCAATTTTTAGGAAGTTGATAGTTGGTTGCTTCCTCCTCTTTGTGACCTCCTGGACCAGCCCACGCCAGAGCTCCCTGTCAGCCGTCACCACCCCCATCTCCTTCAAAGTCAAGCCAGTCACTTAAATGATACCATCCATCTTGCCCTTGGTTGGCCCCTCTTCCTTTTTCCTTCCATTTTCACCAGCATTGTTCTCTTTTCCAAGACTTTCTGTCTTCTCATGATGTGGCCAAAGGACTTCATCTTTGCCTCTAATCTCCTTCCATCCAGTGAGCAGTTGGGCTTTATTTCCTGGAGGATGGACTGGTTGGATCTTCTCGCAGTCCAAGGCACTCTCAGAACTTTACTCCAACACCACAGTTCAAAAGCATCTCTCTTCCTTCGCTCAGCCTTCCTTATGGTCCAGCTCTCACATCCGTAAGCAACTACGGGGAATACCATTGCTTTAACTATGCAGAACTTTGTTGCCAGTGTGATGTCTCTACTCTTTACTATTTTATCGAGATTGGACATTGCTCTCAAGAAGGAAACATCTTCTGATTTCCTGGCTGCAGTCTGCGTCTGCAGTCATCTTTGTGCCTAGAAATACAAACCCTGTCACCGCCTCCATGTTTTCTCCCTCAATTTGCCAGTTATCAATCAGTCCGGTTGCCATAATCTTGGTTTTTTGGATGTTTAGTTGCAATCTAGCTTTTGCACTTTCTTCTTTCACCTTGATTAGAAGGCTCCTCAGCTCCTCCTTGCTTTCGGCCATCAAAGTGGTGTCATCTGCATATCTAAGATTGTTAATGTTTCTTCCAGCCATTTTCACCCCAGCCTTGCATTTGTCTAGCCCCACACATCGCATGATGTATTCTGTATTAAGTTGAATAGGTTGGGTGAGAGGATACAACCCTGCCGTACGCCTTTCCCAATCTTGAACCAGTCTGTTGTTCCATGGTCAGTTCTGATTGTTGCCAGAAGGCTCCTCAGCTCCTCCTCTCATTCAGTCATTAAAGTGGTATCATCTGCATATCTAAGGTTAATATTTCTTCCAGCAATTTTAGGGTAGTTTTTCCCTAACAGAAGTGTGATGATTCAATAGTGTTTCATATATCAGTTGTTTCAGTAAATGTGATTTCATCAGGAATGTATCCCCTGTGGATATGGGGGATTTTATTGTACACAGGATATGTGCACATGCTTTATTTCATCCTGAACAGAAAGCTTTTAAAATTATTTATTTAGAAAGAAGTTCTGCTGGGTTCAGTGGAGATCAATTGCAATTAAGTGCAATCAAACCTGAAGTGTAAAACCTCTGGTTTCTGACCCAGTATTAAAGATTTCACCATATTATAATGTCATTTTTTATATTTAATGTTGCTTGTAAATCTACTTTAATGTACTATCATCTACATTAATACTGTATTTGATTTCATTGCGTTGTATTTAGCCTATTCTATCTTTTACTGGTCATTGCCCAAAACAGATAAATGAAAGATACTAGGCTTGGCCGTACGACCTTCTGTTTTGCAAGAGCGAAAACAGGAGAAGATGAGCCGAGCTGGATGGACGTGTTTCATCTCCGAACGTCTTGGAAAGTCGGCTGGGACTCTGAGGGCAGGCCAAACCTCTGGGCAGAGAGATGGAGAGGGACGGCTATTTTGGTGAGGCAAGACGATGACAAGATGTCTCGTTGCTCAAAGATGCAGTGTCCTGCCTGCCAAGTTCTCCTTTGGATGGAGAATCGAGGGATTATGAGTCAAAAAAATTCAAAATCCCCATTTCCCCGAAGGACATGATAGCATCTGCACGAGGGGGGCTTGCTCCTCAGAATCTGATCATTTATCATTAATCAAAGCGTCTCTGTTGTCCGAACCAATTAAAGAGATTCACCGAGCATCTCCTTTGGCCCCAAAGCAGCGTCACCAGGCTGAAAAACAAACTCTCCTAAGGGCAAAGTTATGTGTTTTCATTCAAAGCCTGTCCCATGATGTTTGATGGGGCTCTTTCACACAAGAGGGTGGTGGCCTCATCTGGCCAGATGTTTTGCATCTCTCCTCAACTACCTTCCTGGTTCTCTGCCAGTTCTTTCATGGTCCATCCTATTACATTAATTTCTGCACTCCAGATGTTGCTAAACTCCGCTCCTCCTCATTCCTCCCCATTAGCTCTGCTGGCTAGGATTGTGCAGATTTGCAGCTCAACAACGTTGGGAGGGCTGGTCCACCTGTGTTGGCGGTCATCCACTACACAACGCAACACACTGGACCATCCCATAAAACTTCTCTCCCGTACACACCTGCACAAGCTCACACAGGAAAAAAGGAAGGGTGGAAGGAAGACCTTTGTTGCTACCAACCCAAACTTGGGGGGAAAGGCACAGGATAACCAGGACCTGTGTGATGGCAATGGCGAAGTGGGAATGAAACAACTTTGCTGCATTGTTGTGAGATTCTAAGATAACCAATTA